CCCCCCCCCCCCCCCCCTCCCCTATGATCTATCATTACAAAAATCAAGTTAGCAAATAAAAGAGTCATGGCTAAAAAACTACTGTGACAAGACAAAAAAGGCAGAAACCTGAAGCTGATGAACAAATTTAAAAGTCTGAGCGTGTAGATTGAAGATTATGCTGTATACATAACATTAATACCCAAGAGGAGCAAAAAAGAAACTTCGAGCTGAAACGAAAAAAGAAGCCCACAGTTCATTGTGTTTCATTGTGTCGATTGGTCATGATTACAATTGTATTTTTCAAATTACTATGCAAATGTATTCTGACGTCAAAACACTGTTGGTATCGACGTGTTGAGAGCAAAATCTTTTCATTATTACTATTTCTACATTTCCTTTTGTGTATATCATTCTCGTGGAATGCGCATGGGTGTTGCAAGGCTCATTGACCTAACTCCTTTAATATCGTCCTGAACATGTCCACACTTATGAAATTCTATAAATTGCCGTCCATTAGAAAAGGATTATTGTGTGTGTTAGTTGGGTCGATCAAGAAAAAAAAATTGATTCTAAAAAACTTTAGAAAGGAAAAACATAATTTATATTCAAAATTAGGGACGATAAAAATAACGACCCTGAGATTTAAAACGTAATGTTCATGTATGTGCATGAGGAAAAAAAAAACACTCCCCCCACCCTTCAAAAAAAAAAAAATAAGAAAAAAAAACGAAACACACACACTCAGAAAACATGGAAAAGGAAGAATAGTCGGTGCATAATCATGAATACGTTTCTGCTGCCAAGGGTTTTTCACAAGTATGGTAGTTAACAGAAAAAGTTCCAGTTTCTTTTATACACCAAACAGTATATGTTATCTATTCATAAAGTAAATGCAAATGTCATAAAGTTGGGTCCAAATAGCTTTGTATTGTCCAAAATCTCGCAAGTACAAAAAAGACCGTACGAAGGTATATTTTGTATATGTTTTTGTAATTGCACAACTATTGAAAGTTGATCATGCATTCGTTCTAAAATAAAATTTAGACAAGATAAAGTTTAAAGATACTGTGAAAAAATTAGACAACCGAAATTGTTAAATCGCTTTGACGTCCGAAAAAGATAATAGTCAACACGTGATTTGTAACTTTTAAAGCTAGTTGAATGAATTTTTATGTTTAAGGAACGTGCGATATTATAAATAATTGTATATCAAAACATAACGCATACGCCAGTAAAGAATGTGCTTAAAGTAATCAAAACACAAGGTTTATTGTACTAGTTAGTCGACTTATCTGATTCAGACGTTGAGAATCTTTGGCGACCCCACAGTTTAAATGTCCATAATAAGTACGACGTGATTAATGGGCGTTACAGACGAACGTTCACCTAATCTGACCCTGTTAAATGGTGATTTGAGCGCGGCAAGAAATAGTCTCGTCCACATTGTTATGAAAACGGTAATATTTGTATCATTTCCATTACGAGAAAAAGACTTTTACTTCAGGGTGATACTCGGGAGAATCTGCTGCTCTCCTTCTATCTTTAGATGAAGAAACGGGATCGGCCGAGTTTAGACGAGTGTCTTTAACTCTACCCGGATATCTAACGTCATTTAAATCCTTAAAGTGACAATGCTCTTTTCAACCATTGTTTGTATTTTTATATAATAATGTAACAGGTTATTGTTGAATAATTATAGCATTGCAATACATGACCTTTACACAAAATCCTGCAAGGAAAAGGAAACAAGTCAGTAAATTTAACTTCATTCTTTAAATACCAATGGAAGTTTGTAAGTTTATAATTATTACTTTATATTAAAAGTACGTCAAGTTTGTACTCATTCCGTATTCAGAGAGTCAGTTTATAAACTAAATTCTTAAATGATGACAGAGGGGCAAATTGTTCTAACAATTACTATAGATTAAAGAATTACAGAAGAATTCATAGAAAATCTAGATTTAAAACGAAAGTGTTTTATATAGAACAGAAAACAAATATGAACATATATTGATTGACTGATTATTGTGAATCTGACGTCAAGTAGCAAAAGTTTCATGTATATTCATAACGAGAACAAATTAATGAAAAAAATCCAAAAGATAAGTTCATCAATGAATTGCCCGGAAAAAAGGACATGGATTTTCGCATTGACTTCCGATAGAAATGACAGTATGTTGGATAGGTACTGAAATGGTGCATTTCAATAAAACACTTACGTTAAAAGAGTTCTTGACGTGCAGGAAGAGTGGCACTCTCCCTACATTTGTGTACATGAGGTCTTATATTTAGTATCCCCGTTCATTAATGGTTCCAATTGATACTTCCCGCAAAGCCAAACGGAATCCCCTCTGTAGCATTAGTTATCTGGCGGATTGGTGAATTCCGTATTTCTATATCAACGTTGGCCCTTTGGATGGAAAATATTTTAACTGTTAACAGATCACCCCACAATGCCATGTATAGATGTAATGCAAACATATGCTTATCTTTATCTTCATTGCCGCGGGAGATTCTTGGGTCATTATAAATTAATCTGCTAAAGATATGTTTCAGCCTCTTGTACGATCAGATAAGCTAAAAGATGCATGTCAACCTAATCATTCTGATGTAACTTTGGATCGATTGGGAACTCAGGGAATAGTAAAAGGTTAATCATTTGTTTTCGAAAATCCATACTTTCTTAGGTTTTGTGTTTTATCAGAGAAGTCATCGACAGAGCTAAATGCGTGATGGCCAGGGTTTCGCCAAATGTGAATTAATTTATAACGTGTTGTTTTCAATTTTTTAAACAGCACTGGGTCGATACCTCTGCTGGTGGACTATCAGTCCCCGAGGGTATCATCAGCTCAGTACACTACCAAGAATTTACCAACGTTTTTTTGGTACATTTCTACCCTCGTACATATCAGTACTGTTCGGCAAGACTAAAAACTTGTAATGTTATACTTTCTATTAATTCAGTACTGTTTATTATTATACAAAAACTGTACAATTACTAATTCTATAAATTCAGTACTGATTTTTTCAGTACTGTTTCAATACTGATTTCGTCAGTACTGTTTCAGTACTGATTTTGTCAGTACTGTTTCAGTACTGATTTCGTCAGTACTGTTTCAGTACTGATTTCTTCAGTACTGTTTCATTATGATACTGATTAAGTCAGTACTGTATCTGTACGGAATATTTCATTACTGTTTTAAGTATATTCTTACTTTTTTTTCAGTGCATGGATTAATGTGTTCATTTAAAAAAAGATGTCATTTCTTTAAGTACGTAGCTGTGCACTTTAGTTTATTTATCTTACAATTGGTTACAATGTTTACATTTGAATGCATACAGTGATGCCAATTTGAAAATAAAAAGAACTGAAAAACTAATCAACTAGGTAATTATGTATTAATAGCAAAATTAAGGTATCGGTGGTCTTAGGTTGTTTTGTACATTTGGGTTGGGTTAAATGTTCTCTTTGACACTTACCCCGTTTCCATCCTTTTCTATACTGTGACATGTTGATGATTTCGTTATGTTTTTTTATTTCTCTGATTTTGTTTTACTTTAGGTCCAGCTCTTCAACAGTTATTTTAGCTGTTTTTTTTCTCAATATTTTGGCATTGTCAAATTTGCATCTCATTCTGGTGCGGTCAATTGATATGGTTTATGTTTTTAGTAAGTTCTTATTAATATAGGTTTTATATTTGACAATATCATATTACATGTATTTGTGTCTTGCTTGGGTCAAATCAAAACATATTTAACAAGACTTGAACATTGGAACTGGGTATATTACTTTTGAGAAGATGGATTGGTGGATGTTTTGTCATCCAGTGGCAAGTTAAGTGCATAATCAGAACGAGGACTTGATACTCAGATATAAATGATGACACTATTTTGTACTAGACCAATATTACACACTGAGCTGAATTTTTGACATGCTAGTTCACCACAAGGAGAGAATCTGCTAGAAGACATGTCATCCTAACTGGACAGGTACCTTAAGACTAAACAGTCTATGTTTTTTCTCCTTAAAAAGTTTACGCTGCATGTGTGCTGAGGGAATAATTATAATACAACCACTTTTCCAGTCCTAATTCTCATAAATACATTTCCGTTTATTTGCCCACTGTAAGGGAGCTACCATTTGATTTTTAGGGGGGGGGGGGGGGGGGGGGGGGGGGGCTAGGATGAAAAATTTTGTCCTGCATTTTTTTTTTATAGTTGTAATCTGTCCTGCCTTTTTATTTTTCACTGTGTTCGGTCCTGCTTTTTTTTTTAAAGTTTATCCTGACTTTTTTTTACCTAAAAACTCTTGTTCAGCCTATTTTTTTCAAATTTCATCCTAGCCAGTAAGAATTAATAGGTATCCTGTTAACAGGAAGTTGAATGGGTGAATTTTAAACTGCATTACTCAGTAAATCATGTTCACATGAGGACTGATGACTTTCAGGAATCTCTTGATTTGTAATTCCTCAGAAAACTGTGATGGATTTGCATATATCAGACAGACATACAGAGGTTAAAAAAGTATCAAAATCTAAAGACCGATTTCCAACAGAATGATTTTAAAATGTCTGAAGGATGTCATTTGGTACATAAATTTATAACCTTTTTGATTTTTTAGCATAAATTCCCACAAAAAGACCTTCTCCTTTCATGAAAAATGACTTAATCAAATATACCTCACATTACAAATTACATAAACTATTACAAGTTATATGGATTTGAGTTACTTTTTGAAAATATTTCAATACTAGTACTAAAAAACATGATTATTAATTTTACATTATTCCTGACAATTGTGGTCAGGTGGCTATGTATGTATGTATGTACGTAGATCCCTCCGTTTACGGAGCACCCATCGAGAGCTGCGACTGTACAGTGGAATCCGTGTAGTGACACTCCCTATCGGGATTAATGGCGATGTGTCACTAATGTACATTTGTTGACCATTAAAATACATGCTTTGCTCATCAACATTGATTTTTTTGTTAACTGAATAAAACAAGATGAAGATCTCAAATGTTTAACTTTCTCTTTTTATCTACTGTATTCACTTCCATTGCAAGTACAACAAACAGTAATCTTAAGAATGAACAGCATGATATAGTTACATGTAAAATTTCTCTCTCAATTTAATGTTTTTAATCACTGTTTCATAATTCTGCTTCAGTGTTATTTTGCACTGCTCTTCCAATGCATGTGATATCACATATCTTCGCCAACTTGTTTCTGAAAAATAAAAGGTTGATTATAACACTGTCAGATTTCAATGTTATCATGTTTGTTAAAGTCCAATAATAAGGTCAACTATAGGTCAACCATAACATAATATGTATAGTGTACATGCATTGCTAAAGGTGGTATTACGTAAATAAAGGTTCATATTATCATGGAGAAAAATGAAAAAAGAATGGAATAATCATTTATGGGTTACCTACTTGAAAACTGATCTAATACGATTGGGAGAAAAATTTTAGCGCCCCAAGTCTGGGTTGGCAAATTTCCATGTTTTCAATATAGGCTGCTCTCTGACATTCTTAAATGGTTTTGTTATAAATTATGCCGTTAACTTTTCTAAATTGAATTGTTTCATATTTTTCATGTCTTCGTCTTTTGTAGCCGACTATACGGTATGGGTTTTCTCATTGTTGAAGGCTGCACAGTTGCCTATGATTGTTAATATCCACTTCATCTGAAATTTGGTGGGTAGTTGTCTCATTGGCAATCATACAACATTTCATTATTTTATACAGCAGTTTAAAAATTTTAAAAAAGTATTCTTCTTGTTGAATTTTTCATTATTTGTAACAGTGGCAATTCTGATTGAATTATCATTTCAATCTGTAATCCAGTTTCAGAGAAGGAGATATTTGTTTAGATTTCCTTTAGGTTCATATGTTAAACTATGTCCTGATGTGACACTCATCTTTGGATCGGCACCAAAACAAAACATAATCTGATCATTCGAGCACAATATCAATGCAATCTGTCAAACAGTTAACTGAGGTTTTGTGTACGGATATGTACTTCCTATAGGATTCTTTGTTAACCATATTGACATCTTTCAATTGTTGAATGCTGCTCTCTATTCTTTTGAATTAATCGTTGTTGGTTTGTTGTCTCATGAGCGCACTAGTTTTTTAGTTGCTGATCTATGCCTTTATTTTCCTCATAGACTTATTCTTTTTGTTCTGGTGGGATCCATTTTTGGAAACCTATAACAATTGATACTGCATCAAATATTTTGCATCAATTTGTAAAAAGTTGTAATTCCCAACATGCTTTTTATGGTATTATTTATGAACCTAATACTTTATAAATTGTCATTTGAAAAAGTACATCATGAGAGAAAGATTGTATCGAAGTGTTACAAAGTTCTGTCAAGTGGTTCATGAGCAATTGATGACACATGGGACATAATGACAAAAGGACAGACTCCCCCATCATTAAATACATGTACCATAGCCTTTAGCAGGTGGGTTAAGTCGCCACATACACGAACAGGAATAAAAGTGCCTGTCCTAATTCAGGAATCTTTGGGAAATAGTGGTCAATTGAAATATTATAACACATTTATATAACAAGAGTGTCCACGCTGAAATGTCGTGCCTGCTTTACTGACCATGCACTATTTCTTTTGAAAGTTTAATGCATAAAAGTACCACAGAAACTTGACATGTTCAATGATCCATGACAATGAAATTAGAGTCTGTCAAATTATGACAGTCAATTCTATAATCATAGATTAGACAGTCCATATATCACGATAATGACCAGTTTTTCAATAACTATTATATAATTAAATTGTTTTGAACATGCATGTAATATTTGCCACTGGACATTAAGCACATTTTGAATACATGTATTGTAAGTACTTTATGAATATGTTAGTATTTTTGAGGACTCTCACTGACTCAGTAGGATTATTTTTATATAATGGGATTATCCTCTTGAAATAAAGATTATTTATACGAAATTTTGTTCAATAATTATGTGTCGGATTATTAGGGTGTCGGTTCATTGGGTCGTCGGACTTTTGGGGTGTCGGACTAATGGAGCCTTGAACCGACATAAATTCAATCATTGACCAATAAAAAAAAATATATTTCTACAAAGTGTATGTACATGATCTCTTCATATAAATTTCACATGCAGTTTCCCTTGTAGTATGAAAACCAGGACAAGACCTGTTCAAACAGGAAGATTAAGAAAGCAAAGAAAACTGTGCACTTTATAAAAGGGTCTGGATGGGGTTTCTTCATTTCTGTATTCTTTAATATTTTATACCATTTTCACTATTTATTATAAATTTTGCCTGTTATTCTCTTTTCTTTATATTCAAGCACCATATTATTCTCTATTTTTCATGGCTACTTCATAAAGACAACAAAGGGACTGATATGAAAGCCTGCCATTCTAAAGTTGCATTAAATCCGTGAAAAAAGAAGGGACATTGGATAATTGTCTGTTTTCTGTTTCTTGGTCTTTTCTCACTTGCCGTTGGAGGCAAAATTCATGTCTCTTTAGTTTGTATCTTATTATAAAAGAATATAGGTGAAAAATATAATCCCGCTAACATGTTTAACACCGCCACATTCTGTATGTATGTGACTGTCCCAAGTCAGGAGCCTGTAATTCAGTGGTTGTCGTTTGTTGGTGTGTTACATAATACTATTTGTTTTTTGTTCATTTTTTTTGTACATAAATTAAGCTGTTAGTTTTTTCGTTTGAATTGTTTTACATTTGTCATTTCGGGGCCTTTTATAGCTGACTATGCGGTATGGGCTTTGATCATTGTTGATGGCCGTACGGTGACCTATAGTTGTTAATTTCTGTGTCATTTCGACATTTGGTCTCTTGTGTAGAGTTGTTTCATTGGCAAACATACCACATCTTCTTTTTTATAAACAAATATATGCAAGTCTAACGTTCTGTTACCCCTTATGGAACCCGTTTGAACTAAATTCCAAAGGAAAGTCATTTTTTGAGATAATAATTTTTTTGTCTTACACATAAATGTCAACATGTATGTGAACCAAATGTACACACATTTATTGTTTGTTTGAAAAGGCAATTTGGGTGAATACAGTTGTGAATTTGACTGCATACGTCTGACGTTAACGGAATCAAAAAGGTAGACTCTAAGGTAATTTTATACTGTAACTTTATGTGCTAAACCGTTATATAATCCAGATGACACTGAGGAAAAAATCATTCATTGACATTGTTAATATTCTATTCTTTTCGTTTTTTTTTTGGGATGTATTTTTCTTAATAATTACATGCATGAAGTGTGTATTTATGTTCAGAAAAATAATTAGAGTGAGGTGCACATATTCGCCGGGGACACAATTTCGCCGTTTTATGATTTTGAGGTGTAAAAACTTCAAAGGATGGATGAAATGGAAGAAATATGACGGTAAATTATATTTTTATAACAAATATGATTATTTTTTAAACTTAGACAAAATTTTGGCACTCAGCGCAAAGGACCAAAAAAAACGGACAACGTTTTGATAAATATTGTTTTAAGCTGCAGTTATGTTGTTTTAAATAGATGTGTAAAAATGGCGAATATGTGTTCCCCTTTGACAAAACATCAGGAAATTTCAAATTGCCTTTAATCTAACTTTTCAGATGAATTTTTTTCAAAGAAACACGTTTTCAAGCTAAGAATATTTTTCTTTTGATGTTATCTTCATATAGAAATATCAGTATACTTCAAAAACATAAAGACCTGAACATAAACTGCAGAAAACATGGAAAATTATGGCGAAAATGAGCACCCCACTCTACTGACTTAGCACTAAAAAAGTGCATTGAAATAGGATCAAATAGGCCTAGTTTTTTGTCGAAATAGAAGACAAAATATAAGAAATTATATCAGGATGTTCACAAAAAAAAAAAACGAGTAAAAGTATGATTTCTTAAGTTTGTAAAACTTACATGAACAATAGCAATTCGTAGACGATTCGAAAAGGACCCTTCATCTCTGACTTGTCGTGGAAATCGTCTGTTTCTATAACTTTAAGACTTTTTGCAAGTGGCTTGTAGAACAATATTTTCTCTGCTGTAGTCTCAAAATCTTGCCGTCCTCTTGCTGAGTTTTTGTCTTGCTTTGTCGCACCAAAAGCATATTGACGTTTCATATCTGTGACGTTGCAAAACTTGTGCCTCTCTGTAGAACAGCGCTTTCCCGCCGTCCATAATTTTTCCCGCGTCAATTGAGCCGTAATTATGAAAAGCGATGTAAAAGTAATTTTATGAAAACTATTGCTCTAAGATTGTTATAAACGATGTTTTTAATACAACATTATTTAAAAATACAACTTTTAACCTTGAAATATAGTTGTTTTTTTTTTATCTTTCTTGTCTTTATAAAAAAAAATGAAAATAATATACCCATTGCTACTAGCCGTTTATAAGCGCTTTTGTTTTATCTTTGTCAAGTGAAATGCATAACTGATTCTTAACCAAGTTGGCAAGTATTTCATGCAATATTTAGGACGTATGAAATTTAATGTACAATAAATCTGTTGCTCAGTGGGTCCTACAAAGTAAAAGATCTGTGATGAATGGCTCAAAATTGAGGTTTTGCCAAGTGCTGGGAAAGGATGATTTGTAGGATAGGAAAAAAATCATTGGGTCACCTACTTAGGGAGCTACCATTTGATTTTTATGGGGGAGGGGGGCTAGGATGAAAAATTTTGTCCTGTCTTTTTATTTTTCACTCTATTCGGTCCTGCATTTTTTTATGTTTATCCTGACTTTTTTTTACCTAAATTGTCATCCTGACTTTTTTTTTTGCAAGTGTCTCATCCTGCCTTTTTTTGTACTCAAAACTCCTGTCCTGCCTGTTTTTTTTCAAATTTCATCCTAGACCCCCATAAAAATCAAATAGTAGCTCCCTTATTTAACATCCCCATTTCGAATGAAAATAAATATTTTTTTAGATTAATGCTTCAATGATGAAACGGGAATAAAATGTATTGAAATATCGTATGGCAGTACAAGTATATCGGGTAACATTTGTGTACTTTTACAAAAAAAATTCTTCACTGAGAATTCAATCGCGGCATTTGAGTCCTAAAGAAATTTTCCAGTTCTCTAAAATAAAGCGTGTATTGTGTATATTAGTATTTCGCGTAATCAAGTATAACAGTTACCTTTTCTATGATTATTTATTAGGAATGCGATTATTATATGAGATATTCTGATTGAAAGATGTATGAAAAAAACTGACGTTTAACAAATTTCTCGAAAGTACTAGTATATGCAACATTTTACATGAAAATGACGAACTAGATAATTAGTAAACACGTTAAATAAGTTGGTATTACAGTACTAACAAGCTTATGATCCTGTATCATTTTTTGACATCCGTTTTAAGTATACACATAATGCATTTAATTCAGTTTGCTTCATGACCTTCATTCCCGCCAAAATCGTCCTTTTGGCGCCGTCTTTTGACATAGTCAGTGCTCCTCAGGATTGTGACGTTACTATGGACCTTTGACGTTCTACACAATCAACAAGATTTGTGTGTAGAAGCCATAAATGTCCCTTTGGCAGCAAGAGGGTTAATATTGAACATAGTATTACAATTGCCTACGTTTATGTGATTGGATTTCATGACGTCATTCATTGTTTACAAACGTTATTTTTGCACTCGCACTGACATTTCAACAAGTCAACAGTTCAAACTTCTTCTGGACAAAAGGTATGGTACCTATATATTGAAGGCATTGAATATTTTAAAACTGAGAAAATTGTCGCATGGCTAATTTAAAACACATATCCTAAGTAGGAAAATACGCGTTACACATTGGCGGATCTAGGGGGGTCCGGGGGTTGGAACCCCCCCTTTTATTGGACGATCAATGAATTTGAATGGGGACATATAGTTGGACCCCCCCCTCCCCGACCCTAACCTTTTATCCAGTGTTGGGAAACCTCTTTTAAAAAATGGCTGGATCCGCCCCTGGTTACAGAACTTTAACTGTATAAAATGCCAAAATCAATGCCATGGCATTTGTAAAATATTAATGGAGACGCTAAATCGTGGGTTGTTTTAGTCCAAATAATTATGACGTCTTGGAAGGCTATTTTAAATTTTTGCTTTGACGCCTTCCTGCGACGTAAGGCGTCAAAGAAAAAAAATATAATAGCCTTTCAAGACGTCATAATTATTTGGACTAGGGTTGTTTTGAATATTCATATTATTACTACTTGACCAAACGTTATGATATTTGAGAAGTATAAATCCTGAATGTTTCTGAACATATGATAAGGAAAAGGGGTGGGCATCGGCGGATCCAGGGGGAGGGGTCCGAGGTTGGAACCCCCTTTTTTTTGGCGATTAATGCATTTGAAAGGGAAAATAAATTTGGGAACCCTATCTCCTGATTTTGATCCCCTTTTTAAAAATTGCTGGATCCGACCGACACATGCTCATTTCCTCAAATCCTGTGTTTTTGTCACACAGTATTTTTTTCCGATCTTTTCCCACTTCCCACTTCTTTCTCTTCTGTCCCGATCCCACTTGTTCCTATTTTGATCGTTTTTTTTACTGATGCTTCATTTATTTGTGATACATTTTGATATTAGTCCACCATTGTCCCAGGTGCCAACAAACTTATATAATCCCGCCACATTGACTGCTATATATTGTTTATTATTTTTCTTGTTTGAAATGTTTACAATAACATTTTAGTTACTTTTGGATTTTTTTATTCAGCCATGCTGGATCTATGCAATCACTCTGGTTTTGAAGATGGTGCAAAATACTAAGTTGAAGACATATCATGAAACTAATTATGTGTTTTTATGACTTGCAGAAACTTTCTACACCATTTTAATCATCAACTGCAAACTTTTGACATGTTATAATTATTATAAAGAGCACATAAATAGACTGATGGTTAAAGCTACATGTGCATGAAATATTTGTCACTGGCAAACACCAATACTTCGAGGTTGATGGATTTAATTATCATATTTTGCTTTTTTTATTTAGGAATAAATTCTCAGAATGATTAACAGCATAGAAGACAGCCGTTGAAATGGGAACGTACGATGTGAAAATTAAAGACCTATATACAGAAGGATGTATTTTAATATGTAATTCATCAGAAAAGACAATATTTAATCATAAACCATGTAATTCCGAGTTTCGTACAAGTACCAAAACATAAAAGATGGATGCTTGTAATGAGCTCATATTAGAACTAGGGAGTCCGCTGGAATTACCAATCTACATGTAGCAAGACACATCATATGTGAGACAGAATTGAGGAAAAGACACCAGCCAGGAAACTGACATTTTATAAAGCATTCCAAAGAAAAGATGGCAAAGGGGGAGAGCAATAAAACATGATACAAGCAAAATTAAGTGTTTCTTTGATTGTTTTATTTATGAACCTTAATTACAAGGGTCATAAAATAATCAAGGGGTTATATAGTACAATTGTATCCTAAGTTTCTGCTGAATTTAACTATATTTTGTACTTAATATATATCAACAGAAATATTCTTTAAATAATTTAAAATGGGCGAATCTTATTCCACCGTTATATAAAAAAAATGTAGTGGTGCTTGCAGGCAATATTTTATGAAAAATTGTTTTCAAATTCACCAAAAACTTGCTACATAGCAAGAATACGCCATGTTTGCCAGCTTTTACATAAATAAAAAAAAACTTAAATGTCACTGGTACATCCATATGAAATAAAGTCTGCTGCTGCCAAAAATCAAGATTACAAACTATGTTTCTAAAAGTAGATTACAACAATACTGAACTCTGAAAAATTTTAAAAAGCGGGGAAATTTCATAAACATCTGGCAAAACCAAACGCAAAAGCACATCAAATAGCAGAACGAATGGAAAACAACCGTCATATTCTTAACTTGGTAAAGGCATAATCTTAATTTTCTCATAATAATCCTCCCAGTATTTCAAGTATTCTTACTCTGAAAGGAAAATATGCAACTTTACAAATTATCGGCATGAAAATGATTGACATTTTTGTCACAGACTTCATATGTTTATTTGACAATAAAGATTATTATATTAAAACAATTGTTATGATAAATAAAAGAAATAGTTATGATGAAAAAAAAAAAAGGAGATGAGACATTGTTTTATGTTAATTACAATACATTGCCTAACATATTAACATATGGAATCATTAATGTCAACATGTTTTAATCAATAGCAAAATACCAAAAATGAACAGTATTGAAGATTCTTATCTTGTTAGATATTTGTATAAATTGTGCGGTTTTATACACATTGATATTGTAAAATATCAGCCTCGAACCACAATGTAAATCTCTCTGGTGTCGATTGCGTATTTTTTTTTAAACACAGAAAGACAGTCGCAATCAAAATCAAGGAGTAAACAAAGACTCATAAAACCAAAGTGCATTTACAACAACAGTTAAAATACATAAAAAGAAACAATACCAACTCGACTAAAAACCGGGAATGAATTCATGTGCTTCTAAAGGGTAAACAATTCCCTTGAGAAAATCTGATAAACTGCTTATCTTGCTTCATTTTTGTTGTTTTTCCCTTCACTTCAATAGTTTTTTGATAGACGAAAGTAAGCTTGATACTTTTCCTCAGTCATTTTCACGTCGCTAAAAATTCCTGCTCAGCAGAGTGATATAGTCGAAGAGAAAAACCATAAGTTTTAATATGTAACCAGCTAAACGAGGAGTATAATAATATAGTCACAGAATTATCCAACCTATTTTTGGATACCAATTGTACTCAGATGCACATGTGTCAAAATTTCTCTTATGATAGAGGTCAACACTGAATCAGCGATGTCTACACAAGATACAAAATATAAAAAAAAAATAAAAAGGAGTCATCAACATGTCAAAATATACCATACTATACTTACTTAGTTTATAAGTTTTCAGTTCCCAATATTTTTTGAAACAATATGCATTCAGATTAAAAAGATAAACCACACCAAATCGACTGCTACAGCTATACCTAAAGAAACAACTATTTTTGATATATGGATAAGGTGCGCACTAAAAAGTAAGTATTTACTAAAAAAGTAAATGACAAACATCAGTACAATACTAGGACTAATAAAATCGGTACAATTACAATACTAACAAAATAAGTACTGAAACATTACTGACAAAATCAGTACAGAAACATTACTGACAAAATCAGTACTAAAACATTACTGACGAAGTCAGTACTGAAATAGTACTGACAAAATCAGTACTGAAACAATACTGACAAAATCAGTACTGAAACAGTTCTGTCAAAATTAGTACTGAAACAGTACTGTCAAAATC